CTGATATCCCTGAAAGCGGGGGGGGGGGGCACTATGAACAGAAAATATCGATCGTTTGCTTAGCTGTATGCAGGTTTAAGAGATAATGACAGTGAAAATAATGGGTGCAGAACAAAATTGAAGATAAAAATACAACTTAATGGTTTCAAGTTGCCTGTTACAAACAAAACTAATCATATGTTTACATGACATATATACTGAAGGTAGAATTTTAAATGGTTTTAGAGTCATTGGGCAGTGTACTCCAGATATAAGACTTAAGTGTTTCATTTTTATTATATAAAGTTCTTGGTATTGTTAATTCATGGAAGTTCTACAAGGAGGAGACGCCTAACAAATGAGACACTAAAAAGACTCAAAATAGCCCTCTCTGTGGTATATCATTTAAAAAACACACACAGTAACTTTATGTAAAAATCTTTACCCAACAAGGCTTTTGAAGGGGCATTTCATTTATAAAAATACTTGTTAAAATTTTCTTTTTAGCAGAAACTTCTCTGGTGAACATGAAGGACAATAGAGCTAATAATTCCATACATTGCTTTCCTTCTGTAGTTAACAGAGCACCCTCCAGTATAGCATCTCCTGTGATCCTAACCCAAGTCCTGTGAAATAGACACACCAGGTATTTTAATTTGCATTATAGAGGTGAGCCATTGGGATCTCAGAGAGATTAAGTGACTTGTTCAACTCAGAGTGAATGAAGGCCACCAGAGCCCCAGGTCTCAAAATTCCGCGGATCGTTGCTTTCTCTACTACACTCCATGGCCTCTCCTAGGCTGTCAGTGAATTGGTCTTTCCATGTTGATGATCGGGGGATCAGACAATAGATCATAGCATGAGTCTGCTGTCCTGAGTGATTTAGTCAGTAATGTCGGCTGTCAATCTCATCCTTCTGGTTATAGTATTATTTTGTAATAGTCTACCTGTCTTTGATCTGAGAGAGCAAGATGAGAGTGGGGAGAAACCAAGTTCATTCTTCATGAATAAAAGATCATTCATGACTATTTTAATCCAGATTCAGTGACATAGATTAGTCAGTCATTGAAAAGTTCCACAGCCTTTGAAAGTGTCTAGTATAAGGATTCGTGTTCCTACTGGACAACCTGTTGAGATACTCTTGGAAAAGGTGCTGATTCTTAGAACCTATTGGTTTGCTTGATAAATTTAAATAAGAGAAAGAAAAATTAGGAGTCTTTGATGCACTCCTTGATTCAGGAATGGCATAAAATTTTAATTTTTTGTTATGCTACATTTAAAACATAGATGGAGTATTGGCTTAAAATCTAAATGCTACTAGCAAAAGAGATAATGTTACACATAAAAAAAAAAAAAACCACCAGAAAGTAAGTGTTACTGTAGAAAATCAAATTAGGGGTTACAATATAGATCAAGTAAAAAATAATCCAAGATAAAATGTATTAAATGGAGCCAAATTAATGAAGAGGGCAATCCCTAGACATCTTTACATTAAAATCTATGAAATGAAAACTGTTGAAAATAAAACAGAGAAACATAATGAAAATGTTGGACCTCAAGACTTTAAACCAAACTTGATGTTTCAACTATTACTTGGGGTGGACATTCCCGTTCATAAATTGGGACTCTTTGAGTTGCCTGAGGGTGACGCCCAAGACTGTGGCAGCTGCTGGAGTTTTTATTCGGGGGCCAGAGGAAAAATTAATCTACGAAGTAAACCTCAAAAGATTAAATAGAGGAGTTGCATTTTGACAATACATGATACGTTCGTGTTACCTTGGTTGTAAGTTGGGTGTTTAAAAATATTTATTTCACAATTGTGTTTGTAGTCTTTATGAATAATGTGTATGACTTGTCCGTATTTATCGAGACCTCAGTGATTCTTTCATTGACCTCTGGGATTCCGCTCTGTACACTTTTGTCATGAACATCAGTGTTTATCCAACAGACTACTCTACCTTAGAGCCTACTAATGCCAGTGTTCACTTTCTATTTAATTAGACATGTGGTCTAAGAACTATGACTTTCCACGTCTAATTCTAAATCGTATAAAAGCTGAATTCTATGCCCTGACTACACAGCTATTTTAGGCAGCGTAGCACTTTAGGCCTCCTCAAGCTTTCTTCCCCTTAGTGACCCAGACTCCTATTAAATTACTCGCCTGTTTGCCTCTCCGAGCCCTTAAAATTGCCTCATTATAGTCTCCCAGAAAACTACTGTGGAGAGATATATTTAAACTCAAAATTGAAATGAAACCCTTGATAATGGAAAACATCTTAAATAGAATTCCAGGGCTGGCTTTTTTAGTTGATATTTTTACGATTTGGGTAAGACAGGAAAAAAAATCAAGGGTTGTGTTATAAATGATTCACACTTTGTACCTGGGCTCAGGTCCATACATAACACCACACAGAGCATCTTTGGTGCCTAAATAATTAGGGATCGGTACAAAAACACCTAACCTGAGCCATAGTTTTGACTGTGCCTAACTACTCTCATGTTTTTCCATCTTTGATAAATTAGGAAGTTTCTTGGAATTGAAACCCTCTTGCATCTGCCTGGGCCTCCCTCCTTACCCACATCCTGCCCAATGTTGACACTCCCTCATAAAAAACAATAAAAGTGTCATGTGTACCTGTCAACACACTGTGCTTCGTCCAGACGAGCTGGTGAGCTTTGAGCCCCTCCAGTCATGACCATAGTAGCTCGAGGCTTTCAACAGTATCCAGGGTGCCCCCGACTCTGCTGACCCAGGCTTTTCTCTTCTTTCTCTTTACCAAAGAGACTAGTAGACGTCGCTTGAGTTCACTTGACTTCTAAATAACTCCTCTGAAAAGATCCTGTTCATTTATTTCTTAATTCATTCACTCATTCTGATACCATTGTAATAACCCGGTTATTATTGGCAGGAAAGGAGTAAAGGGAAGGCTAGATAATATAGGCATTGCCATTTGTATTTGCTAATTTAACACTCCCTGTTGACCGCTGGGTGCAGGGACTGGACCAAGGCAGTTGAGACTCATGCCCAGTAAGGTCTGAGTGACTGGGACGGTGCCTACCTGTCGGTCAGTCACACCTGGGAGCGAGTCAGTGGTCAGAATAGGCATGGCCACTGCAAGGGTGCAAAATATGTGAAACAACTACTACACCCCGGGTGTGGCATGTCTACACTTTCTCTTTCCAGGGAGTTTTAAAGAAAATTGCCTTACAGGACAGACAGCTATCGTAAAAGACGCATAACTGCCTGGTGACGAGCCATCTAAAAAAAGCACCCTTCTTTTGCTTTTATTCATTAATTTACCTAAAGAGTTTAGAAATATCGTTTCCAAAAGGGGTCTTATATTGAAAACAACAAAGATTAAATGACCAGAATCAATAAAGCAGCCAGAGGCAATGCAAGAGGAGGTAAGAAGGAAGCCTGATTGATGGGAAGCTTAGCTGGGCCTGGAAATTTGATTAAAGGTCATTCGACAGGAAAGCCGAAATTATCTAATTAGATATTTCAGTAGATTCAATCTTTTTCTCGTGAAGAGACACACCCTCAGGGATGCTGCACATACACTACGATCTCTCTCAACCGCTGAAAAGCGTTTTACGTATTTTATTAAGGTCTCAGTGGCCTCTACAAGTAAGAGTTGTTTTTTAAGAGCGAGCCCAGACTATGGCAATCAAGAATATTACCACATCATGTCATTTGTGTGTTTGAAGTTTGACTTTTCCTAATTTGGAAAATGAGTAATTGTGAAAATCAGTAATTTGGAAATGGCTAGTATTCGCAGGACAATACAAGCACCACGGTAGTTTGTAGAAAGATGTGTTCTAAAGTCATAGCCCTGGTTCTCGGTGTTTGCAGTGACGCGGCATCATTCCATAGTTGGCCGTCCTTTGCCTTGACCTTCATGGAACAAATAGCACCACATTTGCAGTGGCCTCAGGTTTTCCTGTGAGAGGTTTCCTGGGTGACACCGGCTCGACTTCATTATCAAAACCAGCGGGGGTGCAGCTTAGCACAAAGCCGGTGTTTATAAGGCATCCCCCGGAGCTGGCCGCGCAAAAAGTGGGGAGCCCTCACCCAGAGCCTCTGTTCAGCATCTAGAAAAGATAGAGCGTAGACTGAATTTCACGAGACTCAAATATCGTACACTATGGGAGAATGAGAAGAATATTCTGGTAATTGGGGCTGCACCAGAGGGCTCTGAATGTCTGATATGATTATGAGAGTCACTGATATTCCTGAAATTTCTGCTTGATGGCCATGCTGTTGTGACTGTCCTTTCCCCATCTGTCATTCATTCTGTAAATCTGCTGCCCAGATGGACTTTCTCTGGCAACCGAGGAGACTCAGTCCTCAGGAAAATGGAATTAATAGGTAGTTGTATTGTAGTTAGGTAAGATGTTCTTCTCTTCTCTTCTCTTCTCTTCTCTTCTCTTCTCTTCTCTTCTCTTCTCTTCTCTTCTCTTCTCTTCTCTTCTCTCTCTTCTCTTCTTCTAGTGACAAAACTATTGATTGATGATTGGCCCTTAAGAAAGGATGTAAAGTGATGCCAAGAAGCCTTCAGTTTACATTAATAGATTTTTTTTCAGTTGACAGTAGAATACAGAAATAACTGAATGTGCCAACAATTCCTCCTCATGCAGTTCCTTCTTATGAAATGGTGTTATTTGGACATCTAGATGTTTAAGTTCATTCGATGTCTTTTTAAAAAGGCTTTATCTTTTTCCCTTATTTTTTGAGGAAGCTAAAATTGTGACAACTATTTAATAAAAATAAATCGTTACCAAGTTTCTAATCATGTTTATTGTCTTATAAACACCATAAAAACCACTCTGTTTGAATTTCAGTGATAATGTTATAAATTATTTATTTTTATCTAAAAATGATAGATAAAGGCATTCACCACTTTGACTTGGGGAAAAAGTGACAAAGACCGCTATATCTTGATCTGTAATGGTATATTTTTGTTTTTAGTGCCTTGGTGTTAATAAGCAGGCAGGAGATGATGGATTTTTTTTCCTTCCAGCGGTTTACCTCTGCAAGAGGACAATGCAGAACAAGGCAAGGCTGGAGCTAGCAGACTATGAAGCTGTAAGTACTAAGGACCTCCTGGCAAAGAAAGTAAAAAAGGAACAGAAATAAGGCCCACGGTCTTTTCTGGGCACTCTGTTAACCTCTATTTATGGGGCTTAAGGGTCAGATTTTCAAGGCACCAGGTAGCATAAGACTTAACAAATCTCCGACTTGCTTGCTTTCTGTCATTCTCATTGAAGACAATGTCATTCTAAATACGCGAACTCAGGGCAGAAGGGGGAAGTCATGTCTTATTTGCAAAAATGGACTTACATGTAAAAACTTGAGGTATATGTTGATATACAGTGACAATATCCAAACTTATAAAATTAAAGAGCATTTATACTGGGAAATGGATTTTGCAAAACTTTCAGGTTGGTCACCAGCAGCAGATTCAATTAATCTGATGTCATCTGTTCAGGTCGTTGGTGATTTACTGAATTTGGTACACTGTCTAAAACCGGTAGGAAGCTGCCAGGGGTTTAACTGAATAGACTGATTGAATCAGCAGTAGAATCTGAAAAATGGGCACAAAAGGTTCTGAGTACTTTCTGTATACAAGGTAACTTTTGTATTTTGGATTTTTAGTTGTGTTTAAAGTCAATTACTCATAAAAATTAGTATTTACTTGTGATAGGTCTCCCCTGTTTTCTTCTATGGCTGGTAATGCAAGAATTAGCTGCTTTCAGGGAGCATGACTTACCACTCAGCCCAGAGTGCGGTCTCTCCTCTAGGAATTCTGTTTCTTGACGAGTACATGTGGCAGGTGAACATGAAGGTGAACAGGGGCATGTCCTCACCTGTGGTGTATTTTTCAGGAGAGCCTGGCCCGGCTGCAGAGAGCATTCGCCCGGAAGTGGGAATTCATTTTCATGCAGGCAGAAGCACAAGCAAAGTGAGTCCTTGTGAGTCTTCTGGAAGATTCGTTCAAGTTGCGGCCTTTTGTTCAGGGAGGCACTGCGGTTAACGCCACTTACTGTTCTTTGTTGCAATGTCCACAGGGTGGACAAGAAGAGGGACAAGATTGAAAGGAAGATCCTTGACAGCCAGGAGAGGGCCTTCTGGGACGTGCACCGGCCTGTGGTAAGCCCAGGGGCCAGCACGGCCTCCAGTTCATGACCTCAGCCTGGCACAGTGAGGGGCTTCCTGAGAAAGTGCGAGAAGGGTGTGGTAACCCCTTAATTTCCCCCAAAGTCATGGTAAATGAGTTAAGGAAAGATGGCCACTTTCCTGTAAGATGACCAGAATTCAGTCCTGTAGAATTTCGTTTATAAAGCTGCGTTTTTGCACCATGACACCCCTCGCTTACCCACTGTGGGCATTTGAGTTGCCTGATCTTTTTAAACACTCGAACCCTGCTGCAAAGCCGAGCTTACTATTTACATTTTTCTGGATTTCTAATCAAAGTGTAAGTCAAAATTGTGTTCCTCCCCTAATTATTTTAAACCTACTAATAACCTGCTTTGGATGTCAACTTTCATGGACAAACATTTTAGGTGGCTCAGACTCAAATCAGCTAGTGTTTTTAATGCTGTAACTTGCACAATAACTTTCCTGTTTTTCTTACACAGTCATGTTAAACCATATGTCTTAGTGTGACAAATAATGAATGTCCTTTTGTAAAACCAGAAAACTTTGTGTAAGGAATTAAACAACGTTTGTGAGCATTCGTAAGAAAGCATGTCTAATCTCATATATTTCTATGAGATCAAAATAGAAATATATCAAAATAGAAATATATGAGATTAGACATGTTTTCTTTGTCTTCTATATATTTCTTTAAATACAGACAGACATTAGAGACTGATATCTATGTAACTATTATTAGAATAAATAGGTTCACAGCATCAGACAAATCAAGATTGATAAGAATACCTTAAAATTGTCTTCTCAAGTGTCTTCAGGTTTGGACCAAAATAGGTCTGTCTTCCCCAAAATTGCTTTTCTACATGTGTATTTCAATTTCAGATAGCTGAACTATTTAAATTCAGTTGAGTTTTTATCTCTTTTGAATTCACAGATTAGAACTGAGACTTAACTGACTTTGCTACTCAAAATTCAGCTTGAGTTTTATGGCAAACAGTGGGAAAGGATTGTGAGCTCACATGCATGAGTGTTGCAAGGATATGAAGGAGGATTTTGCTTGTTTGTTTGTTTGTTTGTTTTAAGCAATCTCTAGAAACCGGTCAATACATTGTCTCCGTGTTTATCCACTTTGTGCCCCTGGACCTCTGGTGGCCCATCTCTAGGCTCCTTCAGCTCTGACGGCCTCCGTTCTCCTGGGAGCCCAAGAGGACTCAGTCCACACCAGCTCCCCTGCACTATAAATTGCTAGGTTTTTCTGTAAACCTAAAACTGCTCAGAAATAGTATGCTCTTTTTTTTTTTTTTTTTTTTAAGCCCAGATAAAACTATTTTAAAAGTGAACTAGAGGGCATGTCACAGAAGTAATGAGCCCGACAAAATCTCTGGCCACAAGGATACAAGTGTCATATGGTAATACCAGCAGACAAAAATAAATTTTATTTGCATAATGCCAGGCCCATCCTGGCAGAAAATCTGCTGGTTCTTTCCTTGTGTGTCTTTGTACACAGGAGAGTCATGACCTTGAAATAGAATGAAGCCTATTTATTGATTTTCTGTCTCATTCAGTGAGCTCAGGTTTATTTGCCAAATGTGGTGGATGCATTTGGACACAATCGGAGTGGTAAAAAATGGAGTCCCATGAAAATGGCTTGTAGAATTTATTTTTTTTAATCTTTTTGAAAAATCAAGCTAATTTTGGGGAGAGGAGGGAATCTTACCTGAAAACTTAACTCCAGCTAACCTAAGGTAAATTTAATTAATAATTAAAATATGGGAAAGTTATGATCCAAAAGACTAATGATAAACCTGAAAATCATTTAAATATTTATTTTAAATATTCAGTAACTAAAACCTTATGATAGGGATAGAATAGATAGCTCTGAAATGAACACAAGCATGTAAAAGCTCTGCTATATAATAAATAAAACATCACACATTAATGAGGACAAGATATAATCGTATCTTGTCAATAAATGTTCTCAAAAGAAATTATTTGCAAGAAAAAATATTTTTTGCCTTAATTCTCCACATCAAAACACATAGAAAATTGATTAAAAAGACAAATATTATTTAGAAAGAAAATAGAAAGGAAGGAAGGAAGGATGGGAAAAGGAATTGGTAATAGTGATAGTTTTTGTATTAATCTGGACCAAGGAATTGAATCTTACGTTTGAGAAAGTACTCTCATCATAAATATAATACAATTTTTGCTATAATTATTTTATGTTGATAACATGTTTAATTATCTTGAGGGAAAAAAAAATTTCTAAAAATATCTGTATTCCACCACAGTAATTTCTGATAAGACTATTCTTTAATTATAACATGGATACATTTTCCAAGGCAAATGATATTTTCTTCAAGAGAAAATACATTTAGTATTTTTTTTTTCTTTTTGGAGAAAACCAGGTCTAAAAACCTCTTAAAACAAGCAAGTAGCTATGTTATTTTATTTATTCCTACGATGTCCTACATTTTATCTCTTCATTTTAAAATAGTTTAAAATGTGCTAGAAAAGATCTATGTGATCATGTGGTTACCCTCAGCCGCCTTCAATAATGCTTCATATTTCATCACACTCACAGGGGGTAATTACAGGCAATAATAGTACTTGTAGTCGTGACCTAAAATTGGTCTTTTCCTTCACCCAATCTGGAGTTTCTGAAAAGTGGTATTTAAAGCAACAAAAAGCCCCCAGGGATTCCTGAGACCGGATGGTTGTTTATGTGCCTTGGGGACAGGAGAGGTGATTTTATATTTTTATATTGATGACTTCCCTTTGTCTCCGATGGTTCTTTAGTTTCTTTTGAAGCCGAGGGAGGAGATGAGGTCCGCCTGCGTCCTTGGTCCCTGCAGCGGCCTCCCCACAGAGCAGAGGCGACGTTTGGGGACCCGGCACCTCTGCTTCCCCATGTTGGGAAGGACAGTGAGGGCTACGTAGTGACAGGCCCCAGAGCACTCACAGTCCTTAGCACTTGATGTCAATTAGCTGGCCCAGTCCTCACCACAAACCTAAGCAGTGCTGTTACCTCCTGTTTACAGAGACAAAGGATCTCGGGCCCAGGACACTCAGGTTGCACGTGGGAGATGCCCAGATTAAAACGACTAACTCCCAGGGGGATGTAGGCCTTTTGAGGGAAAGGAAATGATTTTTAGGAACGATGAATGGGCTTTTAGAAGAATAAATGGGAGATACGATGTTTTTTGACCAAGTTTGTTTAGATGCGCTGACTTCTAGTCTCTTCTCCCATGATAAGAGTCAATCTTCTCTGGTTGATGAAACTCCTGGGGAGGGAACTGATGACAATTAAGTTTCTTTTGGAACATCTGTTGTTAGATAAAGGAGTTTGGAGAAGCTCTTTTTAAGTGCTTGCAGCTTAAAAAAGTCACTAGGCAAGAGCAGCATATTTTGGAGTAGCTCTGTTAGGTTGGTGTTCATTTTACCCCATTTCACAGATAAGGCGGGTGAAGGACAGAGAGACTGAGTTTTGCTTGGTTTTCATCTAGGACAAATTGTCCTTCAAGGGGAGCCAGGAATGAACCCCGGGCTTCTGAATGGCCACACAGTGGTCTCCTCTAACTCACCTGCCACTCACAGCCGGGGCCTGAAGTTAACGAGACAGTGCATGAAGCGAAGCAGTTAGGATGAGAGATTAGGGCTCAAAACAAACCAAGGAACAGGAAGGATATAACTTGTTTATTGACATCGACTCAAAGGCAAAGGAGAAGTCTTTTAAAGACATGTGCACATCGAGAAAGAGAAAGCAAAGGGCATTATCATTGGAAGCAGAGAGGCCCAGCACAGGGAGGAAATAGGATGAGATAACACGGGTGACAAGTCGGGGGGCAAAGGCATCCCCAGGCTGAGATGTCACCTGCCCAAGACGCTTTGACTCTACTGTGTCTTAATGTCTGGTAAGGCTAGTGCCGCCAAGCCCCCTCCACTTCTCACTTATTGCTCTTTATTTTAGTTTTTCCCCAGTTATTTTCAACATGAACTTTGGAACCAATTGTCTAGCATCCGAGAAAGATACTTTTTGGCATTTTAAATAAATTTATTAAATTTATATAAAACTTGGGGGAATTGACTTCTTTAGGAAGTTGAGTCATCTTATCCATTGGTTCATGTCTCTCAGGAGCATCTTAAATTTTCCTCATGCAGCTTTTACGAATTTCTTGTTAGGTTTCTTCTTTAAAAAAAAAAAAATCTTGTTGTAATAAATGACTTTTTCTTTTCTCTTGTACCTTTTAAAAACTGTGTACGTGATTAAGAAAGGGGACATGAAGGACTAATTCCTAAACTAAAGAATGCTTCCCCCCCATCCATATTAGCATTTAGGCAAGTTATTAAAATTTTCTCAACTTTATTTTCCAGATTTTTAAAACAGAGCTAATGATCCCTCTGTCAATATTGAGCAAAACAACATTTTAGAGGTGAATATGAAATCAGCTTATGTAAATGATTCTTATTCCTGGGAATGAGATGACAGGTCTGACGTAGGAACTGTCCCCTAGAAGAAGGCAGAGACCAGGCCTCACTCCCCCCTGACTCTATTCAGCCCAGTGCCAGGCACATAGTGGACACTTGATGGATATACTTTGAATTCATGAGTGACAGTAATGCCTGCTGTCCCTCTTCCCTGCATACAAATTTTTTTTTTTTTGAGGGCACTAAACACAGTGGCTTAGTTTTAAAAGCACACGGGGTGTCCTGTCACAGGACTCTGACATTTGAGCCGACCAAGGCATCATCGGTGACCCCACTGGAGCGAGAGAACTTTGTCAGCTCTCACGAAGCTCATTAATTCCTGGCGTTGGCCCTGCGCTCCAGGTACCTAGCTGTTCAAGCTGTGCCTCTGTTCAGATGTTCATCATTCAACTGAAACCCGGGTGAAACGCACACCGCGTGAGTCCTCTCTGCAAAATATGAAAGAACAGTGATAAATGTGGATTAATATCAATGACAAGAGGACCATTGATTAGAACCTTGATTGCAGT